TTCCTAGAGAATAGCTTAGAAAAGAGAAAAAAGAATAGAGGGGTTAGTAGGTTGACAGAATTTTAATGCCTATATATATATATATATTTTATGTATATATATATATACATAAAATATATATCTGGCATGATTTTGTCCGTAGAAGATAGGATCCCAAGTGGATAGCTATATTAAAATTCCGAAAACTTTTTAATCTTTCTTCCACCCGCAATTAAATATTAATAATGAAATTCAGAAATGATAAAGAGTGAGAGAGTGTGCGTGAGAGAGAAGAGCAAGAGAGAGAAAGAGAGAGAGGAAGAGAGAAAGAGAGAAAGAGATGGAGGAAATAGAGTGAAGATACATGGGAAGTGGGATGGGAAGGCCTCGTTATACTCTTGCTAGCTCATTTCTTCTTCTATCCTTTTCCTACTCCAACGTTTCTGGATCCATGGATTAAACCTCTCTCGCTTTCTCTTTATCTTGGAAAAGCTGTTAGAGAGAGGGTCGAAGGTTAGACGGTCGGCCAAGCGAAAGAAGGGTGTTCGTGAAAGTGTAAGGGAGCCTAGTGGCAACGAAGCCTTCGTCTATCATAAGTTAGGCTCCTCGTGTCGGACTACGAGAGCTATCTCTTTCTCTTTCTCTCTTTCTCTCTCTCTTTCTCTCTCTCTCTCTCTCTCTCCCTCTCTCTCTTTCTCTAAGTATAAGTGAGATGCCGATGATATTGGTAGTAGTAAAAGGTAGTGCTCGCGAGCCTACCTAAATCGTTTTCATGTGAGAACGCATAGACTTAACTGTATATGTATCCTTAGTACGTGTATTCAGCAAAGTATCGTTGAAGGATGGTCAAAGGTGAAGACTAAGGCGGCGGAAATGGTAGAAGGTAAAGGTAGAGCTTACTTAGCCGCCATTTAAACCTGAAAGCGAGCTTTGCTTCTTCGTTTTGAGATCAAGCCGTGATATAAACAACATAACGCGGCAATTCATCCCTTCTAAAATAGGAACATCATTTTCATCTCTCTGTCTTTGTTTCTCTCTCTTTTTCTTTCTCTCTCTTTAATCTTATAGCTAACATAGTAAACATCATTTACGCACTTGCAAGAAATATTTTCCGAAAGGGCATGAAAAATAGGAATCGTTTTGCCGAGATAATGATCGATGGTCGATCGTATCGACGTAATAAACCGATCTCTTTACCGTAATATGAGAAAATGGTGTTAAAAGCGTTCATGCTACTAGCTACAGAAGCCATTCTTCCCTTGTCCGATAAATTATCCATGGAATATTCGCGCGATCGCGTCGTTAGGCAACGACCAGGGGCATATCGAAATTCTTTTGACAATCGTCGAGCATTCGGGGAGCTTAATGCTTTATTAATGGATGACTCTCTAGGGGTTGAAGAGCCTTTGAACTCGTTGGGATGTAAAATCTCTTCCTATCTTTCTCCCTATCTCTCTCTATCTCTCTCTCTTTCTTTCTCTTTCTCTTTCTCTCTCTCTCTCTCTTTCTCTCACATTCTATCTATTTATCTCTCTACCTCTATCTCTATCTCTCGTTTTCTTTCTCTTTCTATCCATCTATTTCTCTTCCTCGAGATGATAGAGATACATAATGCGAAACGTAGCATTCCTAACGCGGATATTATCGCACGATCCAGCCATTCGAATAAGCAAGTTCTTGTGGGAAAGAAAGAGATAGGGAGAAAGAGAGAGAGAGAGAGAAAAAGAGAGAGAGAGTGAGACAGAATGTTAATAGCTTCTCGCGAGAGACGATACGAGACGATGCTCGCGCGTCTTCGCTCGACTTTCAAGAGATCGAGAGTACTCACAGTTCTGTATATATCTGTCAAAACGGGAAATGAAGCTGGCGTGTTCTCTCCTTTCCAAGAATACGAGTTTTGCTCTTCTTCGCTCTCTCTCTTTCTCTTTCTCTCTCTCTCTCTCTCTCTCTCTCGCTTTCTCTTGATGCCACGACGATGATATTAATTGGCCGTCTTGACGAGAGAATAATGAGCGTGGAACGATGAGATTACCTCGGAGATATCTGAAACGACTTTCTTGGGGGTTTCAGAAGCACCACACCGTCTTTCTCTCCACTTTCACCTCTTCCTCCTTCTTCTCCTCCTCTACTTCACTAGACGACACTTTACCTCGTCTAAGCCACGAGGGAACGTGTTTCAGAGTAGACGCTCGTAAATCGCCCTTCGATATCCCTCTCGATCGAATGTCGAACGGATCAGCGCTTACACAGAGGTTGCATAATTAATCTCGAGTGTTTACCCTATGGAGAAAGAGCAAGGCCATAGGGCAAGCCTTTTCGTAGCTATAGAACCGGTGCTGGGCGCTAACTAGTTTTCGAAGCTACCACGCAGAAAGAAGAAAATCGGTAGAAAAAGAGGCACCCTACTAGGATGAAAGGTACGCGGAAAGAGCCAGAGAAAAACGTCGGAGTACTAGTGGTGATGAGGGTGAGGCTAAGGGTGAGAGGAGACCAGGACGAAAAGAGAGAAAGAAAGAGAGAGAGAGAGAGAGAGAGAGAGAGAGAGAGAGAGAGAAGAGAGAAAGAGAGAAAGAGAGAAAGAGAGAGAGAGAGAGACGAGGTTGGAAGGAGTAAGCGGAAAACAAAATAAAAGAGGAAAACCTCTGGCAATTTTTCACTAGCTTTTTAAAGCGCGGCTTAGGTACTCGCGGAGCGAGTTTGAATCGATTTTCCTAGAGGGCCCCATTTTTCTACTCACCTTCTTGTGCCAAGCAGTGCAAACTGTACCTACTTTCAGCTGTTTCGCTCACTCGCTCTCTCTCTCTCTCTCTCTCTCTCTCTCTTTTTCTTTCTCTCGAATGTCGTCTGTTCGTTCGTTCGTTCGTAAAGCATGGCGAAGGCCGGGGAATTCGAATCAAAACTTGCGTCTTTCCGTGCTCGAGAATTCTCGCCATCTACATTGTACGTGTCTTTTGTGTGTTAGAAGCCTGCTGCTAATGCTACATTTAAAATTTATGTTTATATGTTGATACTCGATTTGCGAATGTTACCTAGTAGGCAGAAGTTCGATTGTATCGTTAAATTTGGATGAGGAATATTTATTTCTTTATATAATATATATAAGTTTGTGTATGTATATTTATCGACGATACATTTCGATCGACTGACGAGTAATAAGCTCGTTATTAATGATCGTCGCACAAACGATTCCTTTTTCTTATTTTCTTTTCCTCGAATTACGTGCCATTCCTCTTTCTCTCCTCTCCACCTTTCATTTCCTCTCCTTTCTCTTCCTCCTCGTTATTTCGTTATAAAGACCGCATCAATTTATGCTTACCAACTTTCAGTAGAAATATCAATAAAATAAAATAATATTCATAATTAATGCCACGCTAACATAGGATATAATTCACGATTCGAAGAATATTATATTTTACGGTGATCTGGCCTGCAAAATATGTTTGCAAATACGATTTAAATACATGTAATAATCAAAGAGTATTGATATATATTTAAATATCGAATTATATTTACTATGATTATGCGCGACAAAACGTTTCACCCTTTAGAATAATTAATTGTAATGTAAATACATAGATAAGTGTAGATAACAATCGAGTCGACAGTCGAAATTTTCTATGTATAGGTCAATTTTTTTGAAATTTATTTAATACATTTACGTTTTCTATAATATGTCTGTTAAAGAATTGTTATAATTTTTTTTTTTCAAGATTTATTGTATATTCAGGGAAAACGAATGCTTGTTAAATCCTCGTTTTTGCAATTCTGTATATTTCGAAGAATCCCCAAAATGAGTTTTGATACAATTTTGAAACGACCGCCCACGTTCTTTATCTCGCTCTTTCATTGCTTCTCTTTTTTCCTTGTTTTATTTTCATTTTTTTCCCCCTATACACGCACGGCGTATTTCACGATCGACGGACTTTCTATTCCTCGTCCCCGAAAAAATATTACCTTTTGGCGCGACCCGCCTCGGCGCCAAATCGAAATCATATCGGCGAATTCAGACAAGAGGCCGGTATTTCCCGTTGCGCTGTATACAATGTCGATACAATCAATCAGGCACAAAGGGTGAGAGAATGAACGTGTATATGTATGAGAGTGAGAGAGATTGACGGAATTTCGTTTCTGACTTCTGTGGAGTCACGGCCGACTTGTTCTCTTCGCGATATCATCGTCCCACCTTTAAATCGTCTCTCTCTCTCTCTCTCTCTCTCTCTCTATCTATCTCTCTTTCTCTTTCTCTCTCTCTCTATCTATCTCTCTTTCTCTTTCTCTTTCTCTCTCTCTCTCTCTCTTTCTGTTTCTATCGATCAACTAGTTTAGAAGGAATATACAAGGTCAGCGCCATAATTCCCGGCCAGCGATCACGGAGATATACGCGTTATTATCGTTTCGCGTTGGTGGTGCATCATGAAATGTCCCGACGATGATGGAAACTCGTAAAAGTTCCTCGGTTAGAGAGAAGAGAAGAGAAGAGAAGAGAAGAGGAGAGAAAGAGAGAGAGCGAGGCCGAATGCGCTCGTTAAAAATGTAATAAACGAACGATACCGTTTGATAAAACAAAATATTCTGATTTACCATTTATCTTTCTGCGACTTCTGGAAATTTTATTGCAATCTCTATGAAAGTCTTACCGTGCTTAGACACGAAAGTATACGGTTATACTGCAGTTTCAGAATCACCCTCTTCGTTTTCAAACTTGTCTATATATTTTTCTATATTAAAGATGATTATAAATTCTCTATAATTTTTATCGTATAATATCGATGATTATCTTTTTGAATATTAACAAGGTTATAGATCAATAATTATTATTACGGCTAAAGACGATGAGCGTCGTTGATTATATTCTGACCAAAAACGAAACATACATATATGTGTCTTACGTCGAGAAAGAGAAGGATCATTGGTCGCATTATGGCGCTATATTATCGCGCTCGTATAGAGCAGCAACTAGGCTACGTTAGGAGAAGGACGACGGTAAGTCGTCCTTAATGAGGAAGATTAAGAGGACTTACGAGATCTCGCCAAAGGGAGCGAAGGCTTCCCTCAAGGTCTGCGTCTCGATCTCCGGGCTCAGGTCTCCTACGAATATGTGGTAGTGTTCTGAAATAGAGAGTATAAAAGGCCTTCGTTAGAGTGATTAAATCTATACGATGAACTTGTATAATATATATATATATATATATATATATATATATATATATATATATATATATGCAAGTATGTGATTATAATAAAAGAGAAGAGTAATTCGAAAATTATTATTATCATTTAAAATTACATATAATAAAATTTAACAGTAATATCCTTGATCAGAGAACGTGACCGTAATTTCAACGTTCAACTCCTATGTATATATTATGTATATATTATAATATGCATAAGAACCAGTAAATAATATGAAATGCATGAAAAAAAATATGATAAAAAATGAGAAAAATTTTAAAGAAGATACTTTAATGCTACAACATTATTATACAGTCGGCAGGAAATCTTCGTACGTACTGTTATCGTTCGATGAACGTTTCAGGTTAAGTATGATTACTAAAAGGATAGAATCCATGTGTTTACTTTGTCTGTTATTGAAAATTTCGATACGATCTATTCTAACCAGATTATACGCAAATTCTATACATAAAAAAATCTTATGAGATTTGTCCTGTATCAATGACAACGATAAACATTTATATATATATATTAACATCTATAATACATTTAGAAAAGAAGGAAGTCTTTGAGAAATGATAAAAGAAATATTTTACCAGACACTAGATCCACCTTTGAAACATTTTTTATTTTTACATAAAAACAACAATCGTTTTAATATTTTTCAAAGTTCGCACTGGAATGATGAAATCAAATAAAAGGGAAGAGGTAAAAGAGATATTTCGCTATTCTCTATTAGTTCAGATCGATAGTCCAATAAGATCAATCGATATTTATTGTTTTACGAGCGTTTCGAGTGCTTTTCGATATCTACATACGATATCTTATTGTAATTTATATTACAATATCTCATCAATTGTTCGAATTTACATAATATTATAATATTTATATAATATATATATATATACACATATTATATATTATATATATTATATATATACATTATATATATATTTTATATATATATATATAGTCTTTAAATTGTAACAATATGGAGGATATAAAATAAAGCGGTAATTAATTGTTTCTGGTGGAGCAATCAGCGTTCTCCATGAAATAGATAATGACCAATAATGACCAGGGTCAGCGTCGCTGTGCAACCAAAATACTTTCAGGAACGTATGATGAAAATTCTATTGCATAGTCCTATTTTTAAGAATGTATTTATGATATAGTTTCTTCGATAAAAATGATTTTTTATTAAAACATTACATTGTACGCGTAACGGCACACGTTACATTCATCGTACAACGAAGAAGGATTCTAGAGAATCTGTTTGAGGTAAGCCAGAACGTCGTCGCGTTGCCTATTCTTTAGGTATTCAACACAATTATCGCGGCTTCGCAAAAGCGTCGGCCGAGCGTAAAATCACAGCAAGGGTATCCCTCGCTTTCAACGTTCCTATTAAAATTGCAACCGGTAATTTAGCATTGTTAGGTTAGGTAGATACCTTGGATAATACCGCGTGCACCCCATATTTATTCGCGGCCTTTGTTTGCATTTGCTTTGGCCCGGCGGCAACTACACGAGAAAGATAAAGAAAGAGAGAGAGAGAGAGAGAGAGAGAGAGAGAGAGAGAGAAAATACAGATGAGAAAGAAAAAGTAAGATAGAGTCGATACCGATCGTACAAAAGGGCAATATTTATAAATTCAAATAATTTTAAATTATTATTGATATTTAAAATGTTTATAATTCTATCGAGATATTAGGATATATTCTATAGAGGTATCTTTATTTATATATTTACTATCGCCGATAATTATATAAATTATTGAATATATAGTGAGAAAAAGATCGAGTAATTTCAAATATCTGAGGTACAGGATCGAACTTTGGAATATTATTTATTACTTAATGTTCAGAAGATAGTCACTATTCCGTTCTCTTTCGCCAAAATAACTGTTCGAGCGCCAAGACTACTTTTTTGCAGGCTCGCTTAAATCTAATTCGTCGTATAATTGAAGGGAAAGGCGTCGAGATTGATTTCGAATTCAGTTGTGGGTAAATCGAGAGACTATCGAATTTGCTTCGATCGTTAATCATTCTCGTTTAATGTCTCTCTACTCTCCTTCTTTCCCTATCCCTCTCTTCTTCTCTATCTTTCTTTCACTTCTTCTTCGTTTCTATGTAAACACACATACTCACACACATGAACTTCAAATCATTGGAAAGTATTTTTAGCTTCGGCGGAAACTCACGCGTTAATTTATTACTCGCTCGAGGTTGGCTTTCGTCTCGATTGGTATATTAGCTTTTATAGGAAAGAAGGTTGGCGTAATGTCATGCTCGGGAAATTGAGGAAAATACTTAAGCTATGTAACTCTTGTGCACAACGGAGAGAGAGAGAGAGAGAGAGAGAGAGAGAGAGGGAGAAAGAGAGAGAAAATAAAAAGAAGGTCGTTCGGATTCGAAGCTGAGTCAGAGACTCGGTGAGAAAGCCGAGAGTGGGCCGACTGTTAGTCGGCTTTCGCCGAATCTGGAGTTATGGAAATTTTCTTCTACGGCAATAAATAATATTTGCACCAGTAAGCAGGAAAGACGCGGTAAAACTGTCGATATAGTGTACGCGCGAAACCGGTACTTTCAAGCTCTCTATACTTTCTACTCATAGCCTATACACCAGCTCTTTATCCCCACTACCATTACCACCTTCCATCTCTTCCTACCCCCTTTCAACCCCATTGTCGGCACCTACGCGCCGCGGCTTTAGCGTGTTCGCTGAATATGCATTTCGTTCTTGCGAAATCCAGTTCGTTTACTCTATCCCTAATTGCTCCACTTTGCTTTAGAGTTTAAGATGGATTCTCCATTTATTACCATTGATGTGCCAGTTTGTTGACCTCATTTGCATTTTTTACCAACTCGTCGTCGTCCATCGTCTGCGACACGGAATCTTCGAAATTTTCGAGATCGAGATAGGAATTAGAAGATCTCGTGCAAATTTACCTTTGGTCGCGCGACATCTTTCCGTATTAGCATATCACGTTGACTGCAACGCAAGATCTTTGTCTGTCTCACTTTCTTCTTATTCTAACGACTTCACAACGTCGTCTTACTCTTCTCATCGAATTGAGAATAAGAGATCTCGAATTACCTCAAGAAAACCGACGCTTCTTCGTTTCCTCTTACTTTATCTCTTTCTATCTACTTCATGGTGCTTTTGTCTAATGTTCGAAAATCACATTAGCGTCGTTAATAAGTACTCGAGAGTTCTATCGACTTTGGAAAATCATCATTCTCCTTTCCTTATCCAATGGCGAATCTGATCTCACGGAGTAACTTCGATCGGATCAACGAACGTTATCCTTTCATTTCTTCAACCCTTATCGACCCCCATTCACTTTCTTTTTTTCTTATTCTTCGCTTTTGCTTCCACCGTCACCTTTAAAGGTAGGATGCATCGGGTAACTGGGTTAAGAAGCTGTAGTCGAAAATCAAGTTATACCTATGAAAAAAGAGATGGAAGAAATAAAAGAGAAGTAAAAAGGGAAAGAAAAGGGATAGGAGAAGGGCTACTGGTAGGATAGTTTCAGTGAAGGAATTGAGGGTGGTTTGATTACAATCGGTTTGATGGTCTACCCCCGAGGAGATTCTGGTTGGCGCACAGAAATGTTCACAGACACGTACAGATACATATACAGTGAGCTCATTCTGGTGAATTAGTTCGAAAGCTCGTCATCTACTCCTCGGTCATCGTATCTCGAGTGGTGGATATCGAAGCTTCTGTTTGATAGATATCATTCCTTTTAAAAGAAATCGACAAAACTTCATTCTTTTCCACGTCGACGTGAACGACGACACTTCGTCGAATATCATACGATGTCATTCTTTTAATTGATAAACGTTCTGTATAACGTCGACATCAAATTTTTAAATAATCAGAATATCATGTTCTCATTTTATGAAGACGTTATTAGAACTTTTCTTTATGAGTTAATTCTACTCAGTCAACTAGTATTACGATTTTAATTAGTAGTGTATATGTTCAAGAAAAGAAATCTTTTCGAGAAAAAAGGAAGAAAGAGGAAAAAGAAGACGAAGGTTAGAAAAGGAAAAATCTTTAAGAGTTCTCACCAGCTTTCCATGTTATTTGACACTTCGTATAAAGGCAAGAATTCTTCATGCTCTCGAGGAAATCTTCAAAAAGAGGAAGATATAAGGAGCGAAAGATCATGTAGACGAATGATTGCAGAAACGGTCTGTTGGTTCTTTGGAAAAAAGAGATCTATATGGGAAGTCTGTAAAACGATCGAATCGTTGGTAACGATGTAAATAGAGAAAGAGAGAGGGAGAGAAAGAGAAAAAGAGAGAGAGAGAGAGAGAAAGAGAGAGAGAGAGAGAGACAAATATAGAGAGAAAGAGAGCATCATAGCGTATTACTGTCTACCGAACGTTCGACGAAGGGCTTTTCAATAAAGCTGGAGTAATGGAGCGTCATTTATTATTGCAGCTAGGCTTCTCTTTCTGACGCAGGAGGCCTGAAAGAGCATGTAGAGAGGAGGAGAGAAAGAGAGAGAGAGAGAGAGAGAGAGAAAGATGAAGCTATATGAATTCTCGCATGTATTCGTGAGCCTGGTCAGCCGAGTTAACTCCCGCTAATACAGTTTTGCTGGAGCTGGACAGCACGATGATTCCGGTTGAGTGGCGAGTCTGGTACCACCGGTATTATTATAGTCATCGTTCACGTCGACAGACCCGGTAGCCAACGATGACGGATGCGCAAACATAATTATTATCATCGTCGTCATCGCGATCGTGCGCGTCAACGATCGCGGCTGCTGTTGGCTCTCGCAAAGATCGTTAAAATTCTAATGATATTATTCGTCTCTACCAAGTTTCGAGCGTTCTAGCCCGTGTTAGGTACTTTTTACGTAAATTAGTGAACCAATAATAACGTATACGATGCTGAGTTACGTTTCTAATTTTTAAGCTATA